CCCGCCATTGTCAGACGACCTCTCCTGAAGTGCCGAAGCAAACCGGGAGTCTGCCCCGACCGCCCCCTCCCTCTCCTCACCGATTAGGGGCCAGATTGCTAAGGACCCCGGGTCCCCCGAAGATGCCCTCCCGCTGCCTCCCGCCTGGGCCTGGCTCAGCTACATCCGGGCTCCTGCACCTCGCATCCCTCGGCCTAGCGCATCTCTCATGTCCAGAGCAGAAATGAATGACAAGAAGCCCAACGTATGGTGATCCGTCTTTATTTCATTAGGAAGGAAACCACCGAGCCCCCTAGGCTCCTGCCAGGCACTCCTGGTGGGAACGTGTCAGAAACCCAGGGATCGCACCCAGCCCACGTGTCGTGGGTGTCCCTTCTCGGGCCACAGAAATAAGCCCCGGTGTACTGTTTACCGTTAGCACAACATCACCGAGAAACGATAACGACAGCCAAGCAGAACAGACAGTTCAGTAATACTTCCACACCCCTCAAGCTCAGGGAACCTCAAGCTCACTCTGTGGCAGGGAGCACTTGTTACACAAAAGCACAATCAACAGCAAGGGGTAAAGGTGGAGAGACAAGAATAAATAAGGAGAAAAGGGGAGGAGAAATGGGACCCTAAAGCTAATGCCCCTGCCCCACAACGACGCGCCTGGAGGTTTCTCTAAGTCTATGTAGAATATGTACACCTTGTGGGTGGAGACGGGGCGGCCCCAGGGAAGCCCCTTAGCAGGCTGAGGAGGGAGCACGACGGGCTGAGGGGAGCTTGGGGTTCATGCTATGGTGGGAAGAGGGGAGGCCCTCCCGTCTGGTGTGTCGCAAGGTGGGAAAGCCACAGCCTGGACACCATCACGCCCTCAACCCCCCACCGGTGCAGGGTCACACGATCTGCGTCAGAGAGATGGCAGGGCCCTTGTGGTCGTCAAAGCGGTCCATGGTCTTGAGGCTGAGGATCATGTGCAGGCCATAGGTGAAGATGAAGAGCATGAACAGGGACGTAAGCAGCCCCATCCAGATGCCCGGGGAGAAGAAGCTGGCACAGTCGCTGGCATAGGAGAACTGCTCGCCTGTCACATTGAAGGCCTGGATCTGGTGAACAACAGGCACAGGCCGGAAAGGACCATGAGGCCCCACAGGCAGGAGGCCCAGCAAGGACTGGGTCACGGGCAGCACAGGGACGCGACACTCAGCCCCACTCCCAAGGCCAAGCCCTAGCAACGCTGCCGCTCCAGGCCTCCTCTCCCCTCCCGCCGGCACCCGGCAGCGCAGGCTCCCCACCTGAATCCCCGCTCCATACCTGGAAGTCCTGAAGAGTCATCTGCCAGAGTGAGGGCTGCGTGCGGGCCACCAGGAGACTGCCCTTACTGCTGAGACTACTCACATACTCGCAGTGGAAGGAGTAGATGCCAGGCCCTGCGACCTGGGTGGCGTTGAAGTAGGTGACAGAGCCATTGCTGTGGATTTCAAGGCGCTCCATGGTAAACCAGTGCCGGGCAGACACCGCGTAGAAGCGGTTGGCCAAAATAAACCTGGGGACGGCGAGAGGGGTGTCAGGCAAGCCGGGGAGACTGCTGCCACACCAGCCCACTCACACCTCCCCCGTGCCTAGGACTCACTTGAATGTCACCCTGGTACCAAAGAGTTGTTCGTAGGTCAGCGAGAGCCTGCAGGGCCAGAGAAAGAGGCATGCTGTGAGGCTCTGGGAGGGCCTTGGACACCTTAGAGGAACAAGCCCCTCAGGTCTGCTCCTCCCCAAGCTGCCTAGGCCCTTGCAGCCACCTGAAGAGGTAGTGTCCCCACTTGACAGATAGGAAAACTGAGGATCCAGTCACATTCCTAGTCTGGAACAGAGCTGGGAGCTGGTACCTAGGTCCCTACCACCAGCTCCAGGCTCCTTCCTGTGGTTCCCTTGAGCTCACAGCCCCTCCTTTCACTCCCTCCTAGGGTCACTGAGGCCGGGCACTGAGGGGAGGGCAAAGGGAAGAATGGGACAGCCCAAAACTGGCTCGGGATGCTGGCCTGGTCTCTGCCCACATGCGGTCCCAGAAGCTTTGCTCAAGGGGGAGGTGACAGGTTCCCAGGGCACTGTGAGGCGTTAACAACCAAGGTCCCAAACACTAGCAAGCACGGGAGGCGACATCTGGACAACTGCCCTCCAAGTACCCGCCAGTGGCCCGCCCCATGATACCATCCACCTGCATCCTCAGGGTGACCACGCCCCAGGAGGACCACAGCCATTCGCAGGGCTCCCTATCCTACCCCCAACCCACGATGGAAGGAAGGTCACATGTGGTGACATGGTCCTCCCCAGCCTAGTGCCCTTACCTGGCAAAGGAGTCATTCCAGAAGGAGCCCGTCAGGTTGAGCTCCGGCACCCCAAATGTGAGGGGGGTCAGGTCCTCCCACTGGTCCTTGTATGCCACGGAGAAGTTTTGGGCCCAGAACAGGATCCGGGGGGCGGTGTCATTGTAACTCACAGGGGGGTGGGTCACATCTGATACTGGCTGTTTTTGTAGCAGCTGGCGACCTAGCCCCCCGGCCACCATGGCCACATCACGGGCCACCTGTGGAAACACCCAACCGGCCTTCTCGCAACAGCCCTGGGAACAAACCCGGGCCCGACTGTCATGCCCTCCCTCCTCTTCAGCTGGGCACCCTGCCTACCGTCTAGAAGGCCCCGTGCTCAGAGAAGGCCCTTTCTCTTGGAAGCTTTCCCCGCTGGCCCCTAAGCCCTGATACTACCCCTAGTGTCCAAGTATGCCACCACAGCTCACAGGACAAGACAGAAAGCAGCCCTGGAAGGAAGAAGCAGGGCTTCACTGCTTATCCTGGTCCTCCCAAGTTGGCCCAGGGACAGGCCGGCCCCGCGAGTCACTCCACAGGGGTCCTCTGCCTGCTGCTTCCACAACCATGGAGCTCCTGGGGGCCTGCCTGTGGCATACACCCCCACCTCCAGGCAGACTCACCGCACGGCCCCTCCCCGCATGCCCAAGCCCATGCCAGAAGGGCACATACCCTGGAAGGGCGGACCGCCGTGAGGGCTGCTGTGTACGGGACATCTTCTGACTTGAGTGTGCTCAGCACCTGCCCGATGACCTCATCTGAGGGGCAATGGGAGAGCAGGGACCCAGGTCACCACCGCCCGCCTTAGAAACCTCCTAGGCTCGATGGAAGCAGCATCTCCAAGTCGCACTAAGGGCCGCTGTTTCTCCTCCCATCGCTCTCCGGCATCCCGGGACACCCCCCAGTGCCGAGCCCCACCAACATGAGATGAGAAAATGCGTACAGACACAGAAGATGCCACATCCACCCACAGGTGTCCCACTAGCTCTCCACAGGGAATGGCTGTTCTTTAGAACAAATAGACAAGGTTTTCTTTTTTCTTTTTGAGTCGGAGTCTCACTCTGTCTCCCAGGCCAGGGTGCAGTGACACGCTCAAGGTCACCGCAGCCTCGACCTACTGGGCTCAGGCGATCCTTCCGCCTCAGCCTTCCAAGTAGCTGGAACTACAGGCACACGCCACCATGCCCGGCTATTGTTTAAATTATTTGTTGTAGAGATGAGGTCTCATCAAAGTTGCCCAGGCTGGTCTCAAACCCGTGGGCTCTGGCAATCCTCTCACCTCAGCCTCCCAAAGTGCTGGGATTATAGGCATGAGCCACCGCACCCAGCGAGGTTTTCAAAACGTGGTCTATTAAATCCAAAGCTCTAGGGCTCACACAGCCTGAGCAGAAAATGGTGCCTTGGCTCCCCATGGAGGGCCACCTCTGCCAGGTGGGGCTGCCTGGAGAGGGGTGAGGCCTGGGAGCCAGCATTTCCCTGCTCTGCTGCCAAGAGGCAGGTGGCCACCCTGGGAGCGGGGGCTGAGGAGCCCTGGCCCATGGCTGCATGAGAACGTGCACCCTCTCCAGCCCCACTCACCGTTGCCTGTGAGGACCTCCCGGGGCGCCATGAGACCGGAGCTGTGGAAGAGACCCATCAGCAGAGCTCTCGGGTGGCCTGCCCCCCTTCCCTCGGCATCCAGCCTCTCCTCCCGCGGCCCTGCTTGCCGAGTCTGCAAGCTCACCGCAGCACGCTGCCTGGAACCCCACAGCCCTTCTCCCCGGGTGTCACAGCCCCGCTCAAGTCCCTGCCACCTCTCCCGCCTCTTCTGGGCACATAGGGCATCTTCTGAACCGTGCCGCCACAGCCCAGGACCGTGCCACTCGCTGGGCCCCAAGGCCGATACCTGGCCGTGTAGGGCAAGCGGATGAGCAGCAGGGCAGGGAGGCTGGCGTTGAGCTTCAGCTCCCGCAGGGTCGCCAGATCCACATGCAAGGGGCTGGCCCCAAGCTTCTCCTGCAGGTAAGTGGTCAGAGTGCTGACTGCATACCAGTCGACGGCAGGAAGCACCAGCGAGGAGGGGGCAAGGTCCAGAGCATTCTAGGGGCCGGGAGAAGCAGAAGGCTAAGTCAGCCAGGGACCAGTGGGCCTGGGCTAGCCCCCACCATGGCTCTAGCTGCTCTCCTCTGACAAGCCACACCCACACAGGGGTCTTCTTCCAGGTCACGAGGAAAATGCCCCGTGCCTTCAGCCCATGACATGCAGGCCTCAGGCCTTCTTTTGTTTTTACAGATAGGGTCTCACTCTGTCACCAAGGCTGGAGTGCAGTGGCCCATATCACGGTTCATGGCAGCCTCGACCACCTGGACTCAGGCGATCCTCCCACCTCAGCCTCCTGAGTTTCTGGGACTACAGGTGCATGCCACCATGTGTGGCTAATTTTTTGATTTTTTTGTTTGTAGAGATAAAGTCTCATTATGTTGCCCAGGCTGGTCTCGAACTCCTGGGCTCAAGTCATCTTCCTGCCTCGGCTTCCTAAAGCTACCCCTAAAGGCTAGCATCTCTGGTTCCTAAGAGTACAGTTTTTGGTGGGTTTTTTTTTGGCCCAGAAGAGACTCGGACCCAAGTACCCTTGTTGCGAGCCCACCTAGGAGTACAGGTCTGCCAGTGCTGGGAGAGGACTCTTACCTCCAGGTTAGGAAAGGCGCTGTCCTGCTTGTTTCCAAACACACCGCCATATGCCGTGAAATCCTCAATGCTTAGCTAATAGGGACACAGGGGAGACATCTCAAGAGGTTTGACAAGGACACGGCCCAGGCAGGGGAAAGACACCTTCCCTGTGCGTTCTCAGAGCCAGCAAAACCTTGCTGAGAGTCGGATTCGGTGTGGCGGGGCGTGTGAGGTGGGGATGGGAGGCAGGGCATGTTGTACCCGCCAGCACTGGCAGGGCGGGGTAGAAAGACGTGGACGGCAGTCATGGGGTTGAGGAGGTCTGCAGGCAGCTGACTTGTAACCTTGGGAGTAGGAGTCAGCTGCCTCCCTGCCCACAGGCAAGAGGAACCAGGGAGAGAAGAGGGAAGCTGGGGAGCAAAGGGGGAAGCTGGGGGAAGGGGCTGAGGGAGGCGAGAGCATTCATGCCTCCTGACGGAAGTAAATGAGAGCCCAGCCAGCTGCGTCCGGACTGGACGGTCCTCTCCAGTCCTCGTCAAGGTGAGCGTGCCCTGCCCTGCCTTTATGGTGGGAGACAGGTGAAGGTCTTCCAACTCGCCGAAGGATGCCCTGAAGCATTCTGAGCACTCAGACCTCGATACCATCTCTACTCCTCCGCAACCTACAGATGTCCTTGAACTCCTGCCCTCCACTCCGCCCCCAGCCTCCTCTGGCTTTTCCCACTGAGGCCCGAGTAGATTTGTTTCTCTTCCTTCCACGCACTATTTGGTACACAAACTTGCCCAGCCTCTCCACCCCGCTGAGCAGGAACCTTGACCCAGTGTGGCTCCCTCCAGGGCTCTGAGTCTGAAAGCCCGTCCCGGGAATGCTGCTGGCTCCTGTGGGCTTTCTTTCATCCGCATCACCCAAGGCTTTCCTGCACGTCAGGATGCAACTGGCTACCCCCTGCGGCCTACAAGGGGCCACCTCATCTCCCCGCGGCCCGCAGACCATCTCCTATGCCCCCTACCCCTTTCCCTCACTGATCCAGCTGCACCAGTGCTTCCTTGAGCTCACCCTTGCTATCCCAGGACTGGCTCTTTCCTTCCCTCCCTCCACTGAGGTCTCTGCTCAGGTATCACCGCCTCGGTGAGGTGTTGCCTGATCACCCTTAGCAAAAACAGCATCCTAGTCACTGCCCCCTTAACTTGCCTCTTCTCCAGACTATCGCACACTGACACTGTATCATACACCAACTCGGTATTTAACGCCCACCCTCACAAGAACGGCAGTGGCCTGGGGGTGGGGGCTTGGGTTAGTCTGCTCACTGCTAGATCCCCAACACTTCCTAATACCTGACCCATGGGAGGCACCGCGTATGCATTTGGCAAATGAATGAAAGGATGAATGCCCTAGGACTGGGAGACCCTGGCTAGACGTTTGCATGGATTCTAGGAATTACTCTTTACAGTCTTCTGATGTAGGTGGTGGCTTCATGTTATAGACGTAGAAACTGTCATTCACAGAGATCACCTGCCCCTTCATGATGACATGGAGCAGACCACGACCCAACCATCAAAGGGGGATGTTGAAAAGCCTTCGACCTCAAGTAGCCACTCGCCATTGCTTTGTTAAACTCTGGTGTGTCCATGTGTCTCTTTGAGCCATGGGCCCATGTTTTCTGAGCTCTGGCTCCTCCCCTACCTTGGGGAGGTGAATCTCTCTGTCTGTCTCTCTCTAATTTGCTTTCTAGCCATTGCTTTACTAAGCTCTGGTGGGGCCATGTGCTCTGAGCTATGGCTGCTGCCATGTTTCCTAAGCTTTGGCTCCCTCCCCTACCTTGAGGAGGTGATCCTCCTCTCTCTCTCTCTCTCTCTAATTTACTTGCTAAATAAGCTATATTTTCCAATCGAACTTCTGAGCAATTCTTTGTATCTTCTTGTGGCACTGGATTGCACAATCCCACCCCAGCAGGTCTGAACTAACATTTGGAGGCCCCGATGGAATATATTTTAACCTAACACAAAGACTGGTTAGTGGTAGAACCAGGACTGCGTCCCACTCCGCCTATATTGTTTACTACCTTCTAGAAAGACTACAGGCCAGCGTGACCACCACCAACTGCCCACACAGCAACTGAGTGAGACCACAAGGGGAATGAGCCATACAGGCCACCAACGAGGAGGGGACAAGCAGAGGCTTGACAGCCCCCACCCCCAACACCAATCTTATGCTGTCCCAGACTCTTCTCATGGTCTACACGCCTGCTTTGGGGGCAGAGAGGCCTGAATGGGAGGGAAAACAGCATACTGGTTCTGAGCATAACCTGGGGGGCAGTCTGACAGCCTCAGGCCGGGCCACTGTGGTGTCTATAAACCACGGATGGAGCCTCAGCAAAGCATTGCACCTTGACCAACCTTAGTTTCCTGGGCAAGAAAATCAAGATAATGACATCAGCTTAGCACGGTGCCTAAATTAGCACTAAATAAGTGACCGCTTTCCAGTGATCACTATTACCATCATTACAGTTAGAATTTCAGCTATTCCACCTGTTAGCTATATGACCTTGGGCACGTCACTTCTCCAGCCTCGGTCTTCTCACTATAAACAGGGATGATCAGCTTACCATACTAGAGTAAGTCAGATGCATCTGGAGTGCTTGTTACTTAGTAGACATCCGGCTTCTGACCCCTCTCTTCCACCATGTTGGTGCCATTCCCAAGGATCCCACTGAAGCTTCTCCTACAGGCCTCCCCAAGGGACAAGCCACACCTCCCTACAGTTGGGACAAGGTCACTGAGGCTTCCCTTGGGGAATGGGCATCGGTGTCGTGGGGTGAGGGGGCCTGCCTGCCTCCTCCTGGTGACCGAGAGGGCGGTGGGGGGGGG